AAAACTGTTACATCCTTCAGGCTCTGGATGGTGGGAAGACAAACACCCCCCACCTGATGCTCAGCTGCACAGATGGGGGTTAGCTGGGTACCTGGCTGGCAGGAAGATAGTCACCGGGGTCTTCCTTGCCCCGGATGTTGGGAAGACAGCTGGGGCACACATGGTGCCACAAGAAAATATTTAGTGGAGATTTGGAAGTAATAAAGAAACGGAATAGTTCATGGGAATAGATATGGGAAGATGCAGAAGGGAAGACACGGTTACAGTAAGGAGTTGAGTGAGGAGTTGGAGGCTTGTTTGCTACCTGGATTCATGGTGATGGTGGTGAGAAGTAGGCTGAGGAGCAGATCTGCTTGCCACCTGGTGCCAGGATGATGATATCAGCTGGGCTGATGCCAAGGCCCATATGGGCTTCCTGGTTCCTACAGTAGCCATGGTCTGTTTGATATCCATTGTTCCTGGTACTGTAGAGTGTTTGCTGATTCCAGTGACCTGGGCCTCGGTCTGTGTTTTGGACCAAACTCCATGCTGCTGCTGGGACCATACTGATCGGGGTAGCCTTTGCTGCTACCTGGGACTATGGAGCTAAGCAGGCCTGGGCTGCTGCCAAAGACCATATCTGGGTCCATGGTCCTACCACAGCTGAGGTCAATGTTGACTCCCATGTCACAGGGAGCCTGTGCTTCGGTCCACAACCTGTGACCTGTGACCTGTATGACGGAGCCATACTTCTACCAGATTCATCCTGATCCAAGTTCCCGGGGCTACCACATGGAGTTAGGATGTCAACCAGGCTGAACTGCTGCCTGAGGGCATGTCTGGGTCGGTGGCCTAGCTGCAGTCAGGGTCTGTATAGCAGGATTAATAAAAAAGCCAGAGATAGAAACTGACCTTGTTCAACCTGAAGGTCAGAAAAAGCAAAGCATCCAGCCCCTGGCTCTTAGTCTGAAATGACGATCCTGCCTGCAGGAATCTCAGAATGAGATTGTATGTGAGAGCTCTCTCCTCCCCTTTTATATTCTCCTCTAGTTCTGGAATTAAAGGCATGCACTATCACCCAGTTTCTATGACAAATTAGCATGTCTACTGGGATTAAAGGTGTGTCACCACTGCCTGACTGATCAGTGTGGCTATTTTTCACTCTAAACTTCAGGCAAGCTTTATTTGCTAAAATACAAATAAAACACCTCTACAGGTCTGTGATGAAGTCTGTGGCCAGGTTGCTACTAGGGCCAATACAGAGGTCTGGACAAAAGACTGCAACTTGGTTTGAGTCTGAGGGCCAAGTCACAGCAGGGGACATTCAGATATGAGTGGACTGTGCTGCTACATGGGGTCATGGTGTCATCTGGGCCCGGGCTGCTGCTGAAGGCTATGCCAGGGTTTGTGGCCCTTTAGCAGCTGGGGGCTGGACTGATGCATGGGGCCCCTGTTCCCACCATGAGCTATGAGGGTGCCCAGGGTCAGATCAGTCACCTGAGTCCAGGTTGGTGTCTAAGGGCCAGGAAGCTTCCGGATCTGAGTATACTGCACTGCTACACACAAAGTCCTGGTGATGTCTGGGCCAGAGCAACAGCTGAGGGCCCTGTCAGAGTCCATGGCCCTATTGACAACAGGGTCTGTGATGATGTCCAGTGCACCTGCTACCATGGACGGTTGTGTAAACACCACAGCTTGAGGCCATGTTGGTGTCTCAGGGCCATACTGCTGCTGGGGCAGTGGTGATATCCAGACCCAGGCACTGTCGAGCATCATGGTTCTACCATGACTGGGGTCTGTGCTGAAGTCCAGATCCTGCACTGCCACCAAAAGTCTCATAGAGGCTAAAGGTTAGAGCCACAACCATTCCTACCTGAGTGGCCAATCCTTCCACCCAGAGCCAGGTGATGTGGGAAGTCCTTTTGTATATGCGTTTGCTTTCCTTGGTTAATGAATAAAGAAGCTACTTTGGCCTGTGATAGGGCAGAATAGAGCTAGGCCGGGAAAACTAAATGAGTGCTGGGAGAGAGTAGGTGGAGTCAGTAAGAAGCCCTGTAGTCCCGCTGGAGACGGGTGCCAGACAGAACTTCACCCAATTAGCCACAGCCACGTGGCAATATACAGATTAATAGAAATGGGTTCACTTAAGATGTAAGCACTAGCTCAAAATATGCTTAAGTTATTGGCCAAACGGTATTACAAATACCAGGATGTCTACTAGGCCCAAGCTGCTGCCAATGGCCATGTCTGAGTCTGTGGTCCGGCTATAGCTGGGGCATATGTGGATGTCTGTGGCCTGTGTCACCTCATGGCCCTGGGAACCATGCAAGATGAAATCAGAGGGCTATGCTGAGCTGGCCACACCCTTTGTTGGCTCTGTGAGAGCTGGCCTTGCCTCTCGCTGGACACCACAGTGAGAGCTGGACCCTGCATGCCGGAGAAGATGGCCCCCATCACATCACAGGCCAGGGTGAACCATCCCCGAAGGCATGCATGTAGGAAAGCAGACTCTGTTCACTTGCCCAAGGTGGGTGACCCCAGGGGCCTGAACTGACCAGCTTGGATACTATCCAGGCCTACAGCTTGGCCGTGGGTTAATCTAGCCTAGCACCTACCCCATCTAGGACAGACTGGAATTGGTGAAGGGACTGGTCCTGTGGAATGACACCCGCAAAATCTCCAAAACCAATGGCAGCAACAGGATGTCCCAGAGGAGTTCCAATGAGGATCTAGTGATGCTGCACCAGAAACCAGAGGCCTTGGACCAGACCAGAGACTCACTGCAATGAACATTTGACAGTAAAGCTGATGAACAAAGAGGTATACTGTATGCACGCTGAAACCTCCATTGCCACCAGGATGGATGAAAAGGTGTTGGAGAAGCAGGAACGAAGGAGAAATGAAGAGATTTTTCTGTTGTGGCTCTTGTTTTGTTTTTGTTGTGGGTCTTTTGTTTGTTTCGTTTTTGTTTGGGGCTTGTTTTGCTTCTCCTTTTGTTCTCTTGATTGCTTACTTTGAATCGTTTCCTTATGTGGGGTGTGTGTGGCAGGGATGAGGAGGGCATAGGGAGGACAAGGAAGTGAACAGAATTGGGGTGCATGATGTGAAACTTGCAAAGAGTCAATAAAGAAGTTATATATATATATATTGGTTTTTTGAGACAGGGTTTCTCTGTAGCTTTGGTGCCTGTCCTGGAACTAGCTCTTGTAGACCAGGCTGGCCTCGAACTCACAGAGATCCGCCTGCCTCTGCCTCCCGAGTGCTGGGATTAAAGGCGTGCGCCACCACCGCCCGGTTAAGAAGTTATATTTTTAAAAAAAGTTTTGTGGAGGCTGAGATGGCTCAGAGGTTAAGAGCAGAGGTCATGAGTTCAACTTCCAGGAAACACAAGGTGGCTCCTGACCATCTATAATGGCATTTGAGGCCTTCTTTTGGCATGCAGATGTATATGCAAATGGTACCCATGTATACATAAAATACATAAATAAAAATATCACACTGAAGAAACTGTAAGAAGGTTAGTAAATACTTTTTAAAAAATTTGTAAGAAATTTTTCTGCTTCTTTACATGGACAGTGGGTAAAGATTTCAAAGAACCCCTAAAACAAAAGAGGTCCTGATAAAATGAATAGAATTCTAAGCAAAGAGCTCCAACTAATCAGTAATGTTTGAAAGTTGCTTCCTCATTCCAACTCTCAAAAACTAAAGTTACTTTTTAATGTGAAGTTCATCATTTATAGACACAGTTTTCTGTAATTCTTTTACCCAATTTATTACACATAAAGAGGTTTCGGAAAGCCTAGAAAATTTAAAGAACAGAAATGAAATGAAAGAATGTATCCCATTACCTTGTAAATTACCTTGTGTTGTTGTAAATGAAAAAGTTATATGATGAAATGAAGTAAGTCTGCTCTGAGTAAATCATATTTACAAAGATTAATTTCATTAACAACCTTTATTTTCTCTTCTTGTTTGGCAGTGGTGGGGATCAAAACTAAGGTAAAAAAGTTGCATAAGTGTCTGAAACTGGATTCTAACCCTTGCTTTCTTTCCACCTCATAAGTATTTAATATCTGCATACCCCTTAACTCTTTTTAAATTATCAACACCAGGCATTGCAACAGTGTTTCCATCACAACAGTATAGAGAACAAAGGGTATCTCCATATTGCATTCTTAATTCTTAAAGTTCCTAATCAATCATGCTGACATGTGAGATATATTTGAAAAGTACAGCCTAATACATATTTTCTGAGAACCACAAACTCGTTTGAAACGATGGTGCTTTCTCTGTCCATTACTAGGCATCTATTGGGAAAACTCATACATACATGCTCCTGACTTACAGTGAGCAAGGAAATTAGGAGATTTTTAAGACATCTGACTGAATGGACTTAAGTATTTCCATTGACATAAGAAAGATAACTGGCATGAGCTTTTATATTTTAAATAACATGACAAGGGAAAAGCAAATGAGCAAAGCTAAATGGCATATGCTCTTAAAGCCTAACCTCACACTGGTAGCAGTATGTTGAATGATATTTTCTGGAATAATAATTAGGGGCAGCAGTAGTGATGCACTGTGATGATCATGTATACAAATATATAAAACTAGCAAGAACGCCACAGCCCATTACACCCAAAAGAAATACACATGGTTTGATGACTTTAACAAACTTTACACTAAGTAACTATGGCAAAGTAACATTACAGGCTAGGGTTAATGTTCATCAGTTTGGATGTATTTAACATAAATCACCTTCATCTTTCCCACTTGCAAAGGATGCAATCTTATGAAATCTAAGAAGCACTGGTATTAGTGGAAAATAGAGTTCAATATATTTTAATGAAATACTTAGTAGATAACAAGTAAAGTAGGAAGAAGCAAGGCCTTAAAAAGTAATACTTGCAGAAGTAGGAAATTCTCCTCAGTAACTAGGATGAAAAAGAAACAAGGAAAAACAGTAACATCCTGGACATCTACCTGAACATTCAAAAATAATCTGAATCATGAAAACGAACAAAATTGCCACCCTTTAAAAGTGAGATTAACTCGTACTCATAAATCACTACTTCCTCTCACTATATCACAACCTTCCAGGTGAGACCATTATTACAACACAAAAGAGAGAACTATATTCAACCACAAAGTACTTTTAATAAATAGGAACCGCAAACTACATTAAAGTGTATTCAAGTCATTTAAAACAATTATTAAGCAGGTTAGAAATTACACCTAATGAGGACTAACACTATCATTAATCACAATTGAAAAGATTCACTAAAATCCATTACATTTTATTGAGATACATGGTATGGTCGTGTTCATGTTTTGTCCAGAGAAACACATCAGCCTAATATATTTTATGTTTCAATGAGCAAAGAAACACTTATAATAAAAGTTGAACAATATAAGCATAAAAGAAATTTTACATCTTAAAAACCAGTTTCAAACTGATGAACATGGCAATAGGTTTTAACTTTTAAAGATACACAGTTTCAAGCATGGTGTGGCGTGTCTGTCTGAGTTTGAGGTCAGCCTGGTCTCCATAGTGAGTTCCTAGAGAGACAGACCTAGGTAGAGAGATAATGTCTCAGTAAATAAAAGAAAGAACAGTTCAAAAATGGCAATTGGGGCTGGTGATGAGACCCAATGAGTAAAACTGCTTGCTGAGCAAGCCTGGCAGGGAATAAAATCTTGAATATCGTCCACTGAGCTGCACATCTCTACTACGGCACACTCACAAACACACACACATAAATAAATAATAAAACATCAAAAACTTTAAAAGAAAATATACACTAAAATTACAAAATATAAAATCTATGTAAAAATGTTACTCTGAGAAAAAAATCTAAGTACGCACCTAAATTTAGGAAACTGGCAAACAATAATAGCTTTAAAAAGTACATGCCAGAAAATACTAACAATGGACAAATATATTTTTTCAACTTCACATGAAACATGACAACTCAAAATATGCCTAAAAATTAAGCATACTCGGATGGTTACAAATGCCATCTGAATTTGACAAATCCAATACAGCTTTCTACCAAAGGAAACTGTATTATTACTTGATTTAAAAACTGCTATTAAATTGAAATTCAATTGATTTACCAAACAGATTTTATCACCAAAACTCAAATAGTTTCTTTATTCAGGTGTTAGTGTTATTCCTTCATAGAGGTTATTGTTATTCCTTGCAGCGTCCCGGTGGCTTTCCACTGTGGGTTAAAGTTCCTGTTGGGCCCCAGCTTTGCAACCACGAGGAAAACAGGCAGGTAGAATAATGCCAAAGTTATTTTACTTGCCAAACCATACTTTAAAAGTTTTTTTTTTAAATTAAGTCAAGCAGTCTTGTACGTACATAAGAAAGGAACAAAAATCACAATATTTAATTTTTTAGTGTATTTCAGGTTTTCAGTAATATTCTACCAAATATTGCTTCCAGCCTTTCACGTTTCTTGCTTATACAATGATCATCTACAGGAGAAAATTTAATGACTCTTATCTGAAACAAACTTTACTCAATGTTGCCATGCTCTAAACCTCCACTGCCCTACTGCTGGAATAAAAGGCATGTATCAACATGCCTGGTACAACAACAGATTGTATCCTATGTACGCTTGCTATGTAAGAAAAAATTATACAGCTACTGGTCTCATATCCTCTCAATTTCTCTCCATACTTCCTTTATTCCTTGCAAGCTGGCTATGAATACGCTCACATGATTTACATTGGTATAAATTCTATCCACTAGATTTCTTCTCATTGTGAATTCTTTCATGTTGGTGAAGGTATGTCGAACATGTGAAGGCTTTCCCGCATTGTTCACACACATATGGCTTCTCTCCAGTGTGGTTTCTTTCATGAATTTGAAGGGATTTTGAAAAAGTGAATGCATGCCCACACTGCACACATACATATGGTTTCTCTCCAGTGTGAATTCTTTCATGATTGTAACAAGCTCTATGCTGGATGAAGGCTTTCCCACATTGCTTACATGAATAAGGTTTCTCTCCAGTGTGAATTCTTTCATGTTTGTGAAGGTATGTGGAACACGTAAATGCTTTCCCACACTGCTTACAAACATAGGGTTTCTCTCCAGTGTGAATCCTTTCATGGATGTAACAGGCACTGGAATAGGTGAAAGCTTTCCCACAATGTTTACATGAGTACGGTTTCTCTCCGGTGTGAATTCTTTCATGGATCAGAAGCTGAGAAGAACGAATGAAGGCTTTCCCACACTGCTTGCAAACATAGTGTTTCTCTCCAGTGTGAGTTCTTTCATGATTGTTACGGGTTGTGGGATCACTGAATGCTTTTCCACAATGCTTACATAAATAAGGCTTCTCTCCAGTGTGAATTCTCTCATGTTTACGAAGGTATGAAGAACGTCCAAACACTTTCCCACACTGCTTACATGCATAAAGTTTTTCCCGGGTGTGACTCCTTTCATGTTGGAGAAGGTGGTAAGAATGAATACATGCTTTCCCACACTGTTTACACACATAAGGTCTGTCTCCAGTGTGAGTTCGTTCATGATTGTAACAGGCCCTGGGATGAATGAAAGCTTTTCTACAGTACTTACATGCAAAAGTCTTCTCTTTAGTATGAGTTTTATGATGTTTGATAAGGTGACTAGAATTAATGAAGGCTTCGCCACACTGCTTACACACAAATGTCTTTTCTCCAGTCTGGAGTTTTTCATAAGACTGAACATAACTACACGCCATGAGAGCTGCTTCAAACTGCTTATATTCAAGGACGTTATCTCCACTACGCGTTGCTTGAGACTCCTGAGCAGAAGCAAGACTCCTCCAGTGCTCATTAGAGAGTTTATTTTCACAGGGTTTCTCTCTGGAAGGATTCTCAAGGGTAAGAGAGGACTCGGAATATGTAAATTCTTTCCAATATTTCTTATGTTTAAAAGACTTGTCCATATCTTCCTGATACTCATATGGTTTCTCTCCAGTTGGATCGCTGCGATGCACATCCGGTTGTGAAAGACCAATGGCATCATTTGCGCACACACTGTTGTCACAGACGGCTACTCCAGGAGGCATGTCCTCACTACCAACAGGCTCTCGGTCACAGACTGCTACTCCAGGAGGCATGTCCTCATTACCAACAGGCTCTCGAATCTGCCGGTGGGTTTCTCCACACTGAATATCACATTCAGATTCATATAATCCTTTAACCACATGAGCGCTGAAAAAAAAAATGAAAAGAATATTACTATAGTTTTATGGCTAGCCAAGAGAGATACTGGAGACTGGGTATTGAGGTGCACACTTGTTACTTCACTACTTAGAAGGCAAGGGCAAAGGGACTACAAGCTCGAAGCTAACATAAACCACATAGAAAGAGCTCATTCTAGGGGAAAAAGAGTTGTGACTATTGCCACAAGAATTTATGCCTAAAAAAAAAAATTGAACATTGAGCCACAGGCCCTGGGAAAAACACACAATTTTCTTAGTTTCTCTAATAACATTTTTTCTCCTAAAACAATCCACATGGTTACAAAAAGAATGGTGTAAAAACACTGCAGATGCAGAGTAATTTGTTCAGCCCATGTTACATTTTATTCTTAACTATTCCTATTTCATGGTTGGCTCGTATGTGACAAACAGGGTCTTTGCCAAAGTTACCAACGTTGAATAGTCCTGATGCAAAATGGTGTGGGTCAGGCTTTATGGAATTGGGATAGCTGAGTATTTTTTTTTTAAAGATTTATTTATTTATTGTGTATACAGTATACTGCCTGCATGCATGTCTGCAGGCCAGAAGAGGGCACCAGATCTCATTGCAGATGGCACCAGATCTCATTGCAGATGGTTGTGAGCCACCATGTGGTTGCTTGGAATAGAACTCAGGACCATTAGAAGAGCAGGCAATGCTCTTAACCACTAAGCCTTCTCTCCAGACCAATAGCTGAGTATTTTTAACGTAGTTATTGAAGTTACATTACAATTTATCCCAAACACACTTTTATTCACATATGTTTGACATTCAAGGTCTAAAGGTAACTCGAAAAACTATATTAAATAATTTTGTGCACACAGTAAAGTTTTCGTATAATGAAAGAATTGGGAAAAAGTCTCATATAGCTTAGGTTGCGTGGTATTGTGCAATATTACATCACAAAGTTGGGATCCTTCAATTCTGAATGCTCAAGTTCAATGAAGTTTCAGATTAAATGAATTTACATTTAGCTGTACTTGGATTATTTACTTGGGTATCAGATTTTCTACTACTTTCAAGTATTTACTGTAAATTCTTTTTTGTTGTTGTTGAGTGTAAATTACCTCAGATTTCTCCTAATACTTTGGTAGTCCTCTCCAATATTTTCTTCCTCTGTTTTCCCTGAAAGGCAAACCCAAGGAAAGTTTGGTTACATATTACATTAAAAATCATTACATTCTTGTCTCCCACCCCGTGGTAAAATGCAAAAAAGCATACAAATAGTCAATAATATCTTGCCTTTTAATATTTCAAATTAGGCAACTATACAGAAGAGCAAGAAACACTTACTTTTGTGAATGAATAAGAAAAATAATTATGCTGTATTTTTTTACCTATGGAGATCAGGTTGCTAAAGGTTTCCTTCATCACATCTCTGTAGAGCTCCTTTTGATAAGAATCCAACAAAGCCCACTCTCCTAGAGTGAAGTTCACAGCCACGTCCTCAAAGGTCACTGGCTCCTGAAAGAATCCACAGACACTTATGAGACCAATGGTGAGAAAACACGGGAGATCCAGAGTGCCTTGATCCCTTCACTTCATGCCTGTTCTTCATCTGTTTCTTATATATCATAATTAGCACTACTTTTCACTAGTCACAAATAGTGAATACACACTTGGTATTCGTTCTAACTTGTGCACTGTCACAGTCCTCAGGCCAGTAAGGAACTGCATGATAAATGAACAACACAACACCAGCACCTCTTGTGATGTTTGCCTTGATACTCTTTGTACAGTGCATCTTTAGTAATTTGGAACCCACCAGATTTAGAAACGTCTACTTGTCAACAGAAGCTAATTATGAAGCCTGAGGACACCCACTGGAACAGAAACAATTAGCTTAAGGGTAAAGGGGGAATCACCGCCAGGCAATGCTTTATAGTATTCTATATACTCTTAGTATCTTTCCAACTTTTTACCTATTTCTGACATACTAAGAATCTGAAACCCCAATGAAACTTGGATGAATTCTCTCTTATCAAGATGACAAATGTGCCCAGGTATAGTGGTGCACATATTAATTCCAACACAGAGGAGCAGGGGCAGATGGATCTCTGTGAATTCAAGGCCAGTGTAGCCTATGTGGCAAATTCAAGGACAAACAGAGCTACACATATAGTGAGACCCTGACTCAAACAAAGAAAAAGACTGTGGATGTCAGCCCTACACAGAACATTTTAATCAGTCCCCCCATGCCCAAGGCTAAGGGATCATCATAGAAGAGGTAGAAAGAATTTAAGAGCCAGAAGTGGAGAGGGGTGCTACAAAATGCTGATTTCTGGGCATCACGTGACTACTGTGCCTGTGAAGTCATGGTATCTATGTTAGCCTACACAAGATCAAGTCAGACAAAATCCTGGCATAAACAGAGAGATACTCTCCATGCCTCAATCCTTACTAAGGAGCTAGTGGCAGATGGTTGCTGCTGGGGAGGGAGAATCGCTCTTCTTTTACTCTGTAGCCACTGGGAGTTTCCTATGCTCCAGTGAATGGTACCATACCATACACATATTGGCAGTACTGATTAAACTTAATGGTTTATAAGGAAAAAGAGACATGAAGTTGGGCAATAGTCATATTAAGGAGGATATACAGGAAGCTTCAGGTGGAAATTGATATAATCATATTTTATTATGCACATATATAAAATTCTCATAGAATATAAATACAAAAAAAGTCTCATCATTGGTCTGATAAATAACATGAAAGATCTTCTGCCAAAATGTGTTACACCAAGGCCAGATAAGGAAGAGTGCTGCCAAACTTGGGTTAGCATGGGTTGCATCACTGGCCTATATGATAAAAGAAGAGAACCAACTTCTGAAAGCTGTCCCTGACTCCCACTCTCTGTTGTGGTCCAAGCACATCACAGCCACCCTAAGAATAAATACAATGAAAACAAATCAAAGCAAGGCATAACTTTCTGAAAGAGAAATAACAAGCTCAGGCTCTTTCTGATGTGTTTTCTGGGACATTTAGTGAAATATGTGACAACAATGGCAATCTCTCCCAGAAGATAAGAGCAGAGGGGATTGGAGAGTCAGCTCAGTGGGTAGGAGTGCTTGTTGCTCTTGCAAAGGAGTCCCCGGCACTCACAAAAGGCAGCTCAAAGTCACCTGTAATTTCAGCTCCAAGGGATCTGACCCACTCTTCTGGCCTCTACAGGTATCCCCCCCACACACCCACTACACTAGTTAGTTTGCGGATTTCTTTGTTTTGTTTTTGTAAACTTGATACAAGCTAGAGTCATCTGAGAATAAGAAATCACAACTGAAAAAATGTCTTCATAATACTGGTCTGTAGGCAAATATATGAGACATTTTCTCAATTCATGTTTGATATCAGAGGGCCCAACCCACAGTAGGCAGTATCACTTGTGGGCAATAAAAAGCAAGTTGGAGAATAGTCTGTTATAACTTTAAAAATGGGTGGGGGGACGACACCATCAAGCAACAGGGCTCATGTGGAGAGTTTTTTTAATTGGGGGAAGGGAACGGGAAAGAGGGGAGGGGAGAGGAGGCCTGTCTGAAAAAAGGAGCGGTGGAGGACAGGAAGAGAGAGGAGAGACTGTAGTCTTTTACATTACTTTTACTGTCCCTTTAAAGACTTTGTTTTATCTGTACTTTTTTCCTTCTGTCTCCCAAGCCTACATATATTTTTTAAACACATTGTGTCTCATTTAAGAGGTCTTTTATGTCTGAATCTATCCTATTGTGTATCTGAAACCCTTTTCTGACAAGTAGTATTTTAAAATGGTTAGCAGTGTGGTCTGCCAGGATGCTGGCTCTGCTTCTCTTGGCCTTTTAATATGGTGGAGGTACGTTCACCGCTTCTGAGAGCCATGCTCACTGTCCTAGCTCCAGGGATACAAGCGGATCTATGTTGCCATTAAGCAACTTGCAGTACTCAGCTCACAAACCCCATTTAAGTGTTATGTAGCTGAACCTCCTTGAAAGAACCAGAGCTGTTTGTGCAACTAGCATGAACCAGGAAGCCTTGTTAAAGGAGCTGAATCTCTGTTTGTGCCCAGCAAACAGAGCCTATCTGAAAAAAAAAAAAAAAAAAAAAAAAAGATGCTGCTATCAAGAAGCTGCACTTGGCTCCCATTTTTGTGGGTCAGAAGGCTTCTTTCTGTTCTTAAGCTTTTTTTTTTCATTTTTTCATTGAACATTCTCCAAAAATGGCCATATCTTGGACACAAAGCACATCTCAACAGGTACAACAAAGTTGAAATAACTCTTTGCAACCCTATCTAACCATATCAATAACAGAAACAATTGAAATGTTATTAACTTACAAAAATTCAACAGCTCTTTACTGATAGAAAAATGAGTTAAAACAGAAAAATAAATTAAAGACCTTCTAGAATTGAGTGAAAATGGATACACAGCATACCTGAAGTTATGGGACACATTAGAGGTGGTTCAAAGAGGCAAGTTCATGTGCTAAGTACCTACATAAACCCCTTGAATAGATCTCAAACTAGAAACTTATCAACACACCAATATATATATATATATATATATATATATATATATATATATATACTTGGAGATAATCAAACTCAGTGCTGAAAACAATAAACAAACAACAATCTCCTTGAAAAAAATAAAAAAAGCATCAATAAATCTGAGAGTTAGTTGTAACAGTACTTTTTCATTGGGACTGCCAGCCCACAAATGGTGACATAGAAATCAATTTAATTATGAAAGCTTGACCTTAGCTTAGGCTTGTTCTTAACCAGTTTTACAACTTCAATTAACCCACATTTTAAGTCTATGTTCTTTCACGTGGGTTGTTACTTCATCTCCCTGCTGCCCGTCCTGCTCCCACATCTAGTTTGTGACTCTGCCTTTTTGCTTCCCAGAGTTCTTTCTCTGCCTGGAAGTCCCGCCTATAATCACTCTCCTGTCTCACTATTGGTCATTCAGCTTTATAAAATATTGAATCAATCACAACAATACATCTTCATACAGTTGGTTCTTTGAGAAAAATAAGTAAGATTGACAAATCCTCATCCAAATTAAGTAAAAAGCAGAGAGAGGATCCAAATAAACAAAATTAGATACGGAAATGTCAACAGACATTGAAGAAATCCAGAAAATCATAAGAACATACTTTAAGAAACCTGTACTTCGCTGAATTGGAACATCTGAAAGTGGATAATTTTCTGGATATATACCAGAATTTAACTTACCAAAATGAAATCAAGATCAGATAAGCAGTTTAAAAAGGCAAATAAGCCCTATTGAATAGAAGCCATCATTAAAAGTCTCCCAAACAAACAAATAAACAAAGAAACAGCCAGGCCCTGGTGTTTCATAAAGAATTCTATTAGACCTTAAAAGCAGAATTAAAGCCAATGATCCTCCAATTACTCCACAAAACAGAGACAAAAGGAACACTGCCTAATTCTTTTTAATATGTGACAGTTACCCTGATACCTAAACCTTATAAAGTCCCAATAAAGAAAGAGAATTACAGACCAATTTCCCTTAAGAAAATAGGTGTAAAAATTCTCAAGGAAGTACTTGCAAACCAAATCCAAGAACACATTTAAAAAATCATCCACCATGATCATGTGGTCTTCATCCCAGAGATGCAGGATACATCAACATACATAAATCAATAAATGCAACCCACCATATAAACAAACTGAAAGACAAAAACCCCATGATCATCTCATTAGATGCAGAAATGGACTCTGACAAAATCCAATACCCCTTCATGATGAAATTACTAGAGATTAGGGATTAAAGAAAAATCCTTCAAGATAATAAAGGCAGCCCCACCCTCCACCACTGCGGCCATATTAGCCAGCCAGCAGGCAAGGTTCCTTCAGGCAGACCATCCCACCATCACCCCCCCATCAGACCCTATAATCTACAAGTCATTCTCTGACCCCCAAACCTACCCATCCTCTGTGACCTCAGATACTCCCTGAGACATAGACACACTTGTATAGATTGGACTAAGAGGTAAGTGACTGGTCTCCCAGCTGGAGAGCCCAGCATTTAGGTCCTAAGCCTGAGGGCACAACTCGTGCCCCTCTCCCAACCAGCAGGCAAGGCTCCCATAAGAAGGCCACTCCACCCACTCCCAATTTGACCCTGTAATCTACAAGCCTCACTCTGTCCAGTGGGAAGTAGCCTTGAACTCTTTGGCACAGGAGACCACTTCCTAAATATAACAACAGCAGCACAGACACTGAGAGCAACAATTAATAAATGTGACCTCCTGAAACTGGAAAGCTTCTGTAAGGCAAAGTACATGGTAAATAAGATAAAACGACAGCCTACAGAATGGGGAAAGATCTTCACCAACCCCACATCTGACAGAAGGCTGATCTCTAAAACATATAAAAAACCAAAAAAAAAATAGACATCAAAATACCAAATAATCCAATTAAAAAAATGAATACAGATCTAAACAGAATTCTCAGCAGAAGAATCCCAAATGGC